CCTGCTTCTCTATGGCTGCCTGCCTGGCAGTAAATCTCAAATATCCCTGAGAAAGAAAGAAAGAGAAAATCCTGAATCAGAATACCCCTGTGAAGTTCCGGGGATTCCCTGCCTCTCTCTAGGCATACTGCAGAGAATGGGTAGATTCAGATAAGATTAATCTATGCATTACATAAAAAATTATTACAAGTGTATTGAGAGCAATGAGCACAGAGATTAAGAGTTCTAGGTCCAAATCTACACTGTCTGGATTTAAAGCACTGGTTGGTGTTACTAAGTGGTTAGAGCGATGGCCTACACACCGGAGGGTTGTGGGTTTGATTCAGGTCAAGGGCACATACCTAGGTTGCAGGTTTTATCCCTGTCCCCAGTCTGGGTGCATGTGGGAGGCAATCAATTGATGTATCCCTTTCTGCCCTTTTTCTCTTCCCTTCCCCCTCTCTCCCACTCTCTCCTCCACTGAGGAAAAAAAAAAAAACGAAACTAAACTCTGCCACTAGGATGACCACTTTCTCCCTGTTTACCCAGGGCTTTCTGAGTTTTAGCTCTAAAAGTCTCATATCCCTGGAAACTCCTCAGTTCTTAGCAAACTAGGATGTTTGGTCACTTTACCTGACACATTAGCTATATAAGCTTGAGGCAATTTTTAAGCTTCTGTATGTTTCAGTTCTCTTGTGGTAAAATGGGTATAATTTTAGTGACTTCATTGGGTTGTTAGAGAATTAAACAAAATAGTATGTATACGTTGTTCAGCACAGTATATAGTGAACATTCAATAAGTGAAGCTATAAAAAAGTAAATAAAGCTGTAATAATTATTATTCCAAGGAAGGCATTGACCAACTACTTGTCTACCTTTTCTACCAAGTAGCAAAGAAATAAAGATGGGCTTAAATAGATATATAAAAAATGAACTTCTTTCTTAGTGAAATAAATCAGATGGAAAGGATAAGAACCATACAATTTCATTCTTATCCTAATATATAAAAAGCCAGGGGCTGTCACAACCAAAACAACCAGACAGATGACCAAACAGTAGGCTGCGTGGGGCGACAAGGCAAGCAGGGAGGTTAGTGAGGGATGACCAAACAACTGAACAGCAGGCTGTGTGGGGCGACCAGGCTGGCAGGGGGGGCAGTTGAGGGTGTCGGGGGGTGGGGGGGCAGTTAAGGGCGATCAGGCAGGCAGGCAGGTGAGCAGTTAGGAGACAGCAGTCCTGGATTGTGAGAGAGATGTCCAACTGCTGGTTTAGGGATCAGGCTTAAACTGGCAGTTGGACATTCCCAGAGGGGTTCCGGATTAGAGAGGATGTAGGCTGGGCTGAGGGGGACCCCCCTTCCCATGCATAAATTTTGTGCACTGGGCCTCTAGTGTTATATATAAAACAAAAAGCAACAAACAAACTCATAGACACAGACAACATTATTGTGGTTATTAGAGGGGAAGGGAGATAGACAGAAGATGAAGAGGATACAGGGGGGTTAAATATATGGTGACAGAGGGAGACTAGACTCTGGGTGGTGAGCACACAATGTATGAAGATGTATTATAAGGTATTACACCTGAAACTTATGTAATGTAATTAACCATGTTACTTACACCCATAAATATAATTGAAATAAAAGGAACTTCTTGATCACAAGGATACATACACCAGAGATTTGAAATGGCCTTTCCTAGGTATTTACAATGAAATATTTGATATAAATCTTATGTGTCTAAGTTGTGGAAATGCCTGAACCTGATTTCAAGTTCCAGGTTTCTATGTCACGGACACTAAGGCTCACAGAGTGTTAAACAGAAGAAGCTAACTTTCTTAGAATGATTTTTCATCATTTCCTTGTTGCCCATTGCCTATCTTATCACTACAAACTCTTTTTCCTGACTTGTAAGGGCCTCTGTGAGCTGGTTTCAAACTATAAACCCATCCCACTTCCCATTCTGTTCCAAATTCAACCAGGACTCCAACTAAGTCAGTCCCTGACTTCCCCTCTCACATATCTTGTTCCTTTGTTGGAATTTTCACTTATGTTGTTACTCCCTTTCTAGAGTGCATCTACCTAAATGACTAATAAATATCTCTGAGAGCTCACTTATTCCCTAAGAATAAATTCATCATTCATGTCTTCCAGGAAGCCCTTCATGGCTATTCTGGCCCACACTGACCTCTATGTCATTGGTCTTTCTACTCTTGACATTTTTTCCATCTAAACCACATGATTGAGCACTAAGTGTTCCTCTGTTTTTTCTTTAAGTGTAGTTGATATATAATATTATATTAATTATATTAGTTTCAGGTGTACAACAGAGTGATTTGCCATTTTTACTTACAATTCTATTAATCTATTACTTCTATTAATCTGTCACCATACAGACTTATAATATTATTTAGTATATTTCCTTTCACCTTTTTCACCCATCCTCTGCCATCAGGCATCCATACCTTTGGTTTCTGTTTCTGCAAGTCCGTTTTGTTGTTGTTGTTTTAGATTCCACATAAACAGTCATTTCCACTAGTTTATAGATTCTTCAAAGAAATAATATACTCTTTTTCTTTCCATATATACTCCCAGCTCTTCTACTTCCCTTACTTCTACATCAATACAGCTATTCAATCAGTAAATCCTATCAATTCTTCACCAATATCTTTTCATTTTCACTCTCACTCTCATTTTATATAAAAAATGAACTTCTTGCTTAGTGAAATAAATCAGATGGAAAGGACAAGATCCATACAATTTCATTCTTATGTTAGATATAAAACAAAAAGCAACAAACAAACTCATAGACACAGACAGCATTATGGTGGTTATTAGAGGGGAAGGGAGATAGACAGAAGATGAAGAGGATAAAGTGGGTCAAATATATAGTGACAGAGGGAGACTAGACTATGGGTGACAAGCACACAATGGAGTATGCAGAGGTATTATCAAAGTCAAAGCCACCATCACCTCTCACCTGGACACGGATAGTCTCCCAATTGTCTGCTCTGCTTCTTTTCCTTCCCTCTTCAACAATTCTCCACATAGGATCCAGTATCATCTTTTAACAAATATAATCCAGAGCACATAGCTCCCTTGCTTTAAATGTTCCATTCATACTCAGAATATAATCCAAACTCCTTAAAATGGTCTATAAGGCCCTACAACCATTTTTAAAGCTCTTGCCAACCTCTATGACCTCATGTCATAGCAGTCTTCTCCTAGCTCACTACATTCCAAACATACTGGCCTTCTTTCTGACCCTTAAACAAGCCATGCTTTTTCCCACCTTTGAACATTTGTACTTGCTGGTCTCTCTGGAATGCTCTGCTCAGATATCTTCATATAGCTCCATTCTGCTCATAATTTAGGTCTCAGGGTAAGTATTACATTCTCAAAGAGGCCTTCCCTGAACATACTCTCTAAGGTAATCATTTTATCATATTATTGTATTTTATTTCCTTCATGACATAGATCATAATCTGAAATTATCTTATTATTTTATGCATGCATTTTATGTTTATTTCAGATGTCCTCTCATAGTAAAGATTATGTCTATTTTTTCACCCCTCTTCCCTAGACTTAGCACATGAATGGTGTGCAATAAATGTGTTGAGTGAATAAATGTTTTTTTGCAAAAAAAAAATGTCTGTATACACTGTCCAAAAGTCATACCTCAAGGTTTGGTGTGGAGAAGAAAGTCTGATTATCACTAGAGGGGATGGGAGCAAATAGAAGACATTTTGGGAATGACACATGTGACCTTAGACTAGCACATCATCTGAGTTTTTTTCATATGAACATTGTTGTCCAAGCCACTTCTTTTTTTATTACTCTTCTGCCTTGATGTCTGAGTCTCCTACCTCTTCGACCTATTATTTTATGTCTCCTTACTCTGACTTCTCTTTTCCCTCCTACCTCTTTTTTAAAAAATATATATTTTATTGATTTTTTACAGAGAGGAAGGGAGAGGAATAGAGTCAGAAATATTGATCAGCTGCCTCCTGCACACCCCCCACTGGGGACGTGCCCTTGACCGGAATCAAACCCGGAACCCTCAGTCCGCAGACCAATGCTCCATCCACTGAGCCAAATAGGTTAGGCTCCCTCCTACCTCTTAAATGTGTAATTTTCTCTTAAGTTTTTTTTCCCCTATAACTTTAAATGTGTGTGTACTTGAACTGTGAGAAAACCTACATTGCTCTTTGTAGCCTGGACTTGTCCTCCAAGCTTTACATTTCTGTTCACAAACTACCTACTGTGAAACCTACACCACCTGAATTTCACCAGAAACTTAAAACTCAGCATACCTCAAATGAGTATTTTCCACCAAAATCTTACTACCCTGCTCACGCTTTTCTGTATTTATTCACTTGGTTAATGACATTACATCTAGTGCACAAGCTAGAAACCTCAGACATCCTTTCTTGTTCAGTGCCTCAGCAAATCCTGTCATCTCTCTCAAACCTCCCTTAACTCTGACTCTGCTTACCATCCCTATTGCTTCCACCCATCAGCGGGGTTCTCATCTCTTCTTGCAAGAAGAACTTCCTGTTCTGCCTCCCTTTAAACCTTACTTCTTGGTATTCCTCAGAAGAGCAGCTGTTACAATTTTGCATGAGATTATTCCTCATTGCTTAAAACTATCTTAGCTCTGACTCCCGCCCTCTAAATGACAATATAACCATCTCCATATTCCTAGTTATGTAACAATGAAAAGTACCTCCACACATCTTCAAACAATTTTTAGCATACTGACTTGAGTTGAGAGAAATTGAATCAAATCAGTCTATTCAATATTCTCTCCAGGTAGATGCTGTTTTCAAGCCACTGCCTATATGGTTCATACTGCCTATAATGCCCATCCCTTTATTTGCCTGGTGACAGTTTATTCATCTTAAAAGGTCAGTTTGAATGTCTGCTCTACCAGGAAAGCATCATTTCAAAAGTCATGCAGAATTTGTTATAGCTTCCTGTGTGTTACCATAGCTCTTGACAGATACCATCATCATAGCCTTATGAATATTGCTTACACTAGAGGCCCGGTGCACAAAAATTTGTGCACT